TTTATCATTTATAAGTACGAAATACTTATTTCAAAGATAAAATGAGTCACAAATTATCAATTAGAACTTATTGGTTGTATACCTCCTTAATTTATTTTTGATTATAACAAACAAATAAAGTAGATTGAATACCTTCTATTACAGTATTTGTTAATTACCATAAATTATTATTATTGACATAATCATTAAAATAAAAATAGTTTAATTAAAAGAATAACTACTCTTTTTTTTTGGTAATTGGTTTTTATCTTTTCTCAATTCTTTTAAATCTAAGAAACTTCTTCTTTTATTTATGTAACTCAGTAAGGAATTATTTTTAAAAGATAATAATAGAATTTAATCCCTCTAAAATAAAAATTCAAGAATTTTTAAGAGTAGGTCCTAATAAAAAAAAAAGATTCAATTAACAAAGATGTTCATAATTAAATTTTATGAGTATTGAAATATTTTAGTTTTTTTAATATGATCTACTTCTATTGAACAGTTTATTTAAATAATAGTTATAGAAATATCATTCTTCTAAGGTAAAGTAGAATTTACATTTAAAAGAAATTAAAATAAATAAAAATTATTTAGAAATTAAAACAATTTAATATTTAAAATATTTTAAAATTAAAGAAAAATAAAAAAAAATCAAATTATTCTTCAACTTGAGTTTTAAAATAATATTTTAAATCAATGAAATGATCATAGACACTTTTATCATATTGAATATTAGATAAATCTTTTGGAGGTAATGGAAGTTTATCATAAGTTTTTGTTTGTAAATACGTATCAACTCTTAAATCAATATAATACAACATTATTCCTAATAAATTAGTTGGTACTCTACTTCCTACAGCATTAAAATGACCACCACCAGACCCTCCTAATTCTAAAGCCAATGGAGTAATAATTTCTCTTAAATCAACAAGATTTGTTCCTCTAAAACAAAGGTCATAAAGTGGTTGTTCTTTTACTTTTCTTCTTTGATAATAAAAAATAGCCAACCCAATTGGTTTTTCTTTTGAAGCTGATGCAAAATGTGCTGATTTAGATTTACCACATGGTGGATTTAAACACCAAGCAATATATTTACAATTACAAGAATTATTTATTATAACATTTCTTCCAATTTTATCATTACGAGTTACTTGCATTGCTTGTGAAACTAATGCAGGAATTTCACATGGAATATATCCAGAAACAAACTCTCTTACAAGGTCTTCTTTCATTTCTTTTTTACGATAAATAGAAAGCCCTTGTGCTAATATACCAGCGTCAAGAAAAAGACTTCTTTTCTCAAATTTATCCATTACTTTCTTTATGTATTCAGTATTATCATAATAATCACAAATACATCCTATACATGCATATATATCAACATATTCTTTTAATTCTTTTTTCTCTTTAAAGTATTTATGAACTAATTCACTTGCACAACAATTTTCATCATTTATCATTTCAACCCCTTTTGGTGGTGTCCCATATATTCTATGATGATCAATATAAATTACTTGATACCCTTTATCTATTAATGTTTCAAATTTTTTATAAAGTTCTTTATATGTTCTTGCATCAAGAGCAATATCACTAATAAATAAATTACTTTCTATCTCTTTTATGTCATGTACTATTCCCATGGGATGTGTTATTATTAAGTCTGCATCAATAAATCGTTTACTACTTAATGCTATAGTTGCACTACATAGTCCATCACCATCTCCATGACTACAAACAGTCCATCTTTGATTGATTCGTGGAAGATTTAACTCTCCTAATTCAATACATTCATCAAGCTCCCGTTTCATTTCTTCGTTCATAAATTATTTTTTGAGTTTCAAATCAAAAGAAGTCCATTTTTCTTCTAAGTTCTTCCTTTCTTTTTTTTTTAATTCCCTTTTTTATTGGTTTGTTTCCAAAGAAAATCACTCTATTATTTCTATTAGAAAGTCTTGTAAAAAAGACTCATATTAAAAATCTCTATTTTATATCTCTCTAACTATCAGCAACAAATTCAATATTTCATTGTTATAATTTCTTACCATAACTTGATTTTTTATTTTTTTGTTATCTTCATTTTTATTAGTAATAAACTTATTCTATGGGTTAAGTTATTAACATATCCTAAAGGCTTAATTAAATAGTAACTATTTTGAATTATAAACGATTTCATTTCTTTACAAAAATACTCGTGCTAATAAAGTAATCACTCTTTAGGTGTGATTAAAAAAATTAATTAATCACTCATGAGGATTCTTAAAAATCTGAATGGTTAGTTGTATTTAAACACAAAATATAATGAGAAATACGAAATAAATGAAACCTGTCACTGATGAAGAGTTTAACAGATTTCGAGATATGTGTTTAAACCATGAGGGATGGCATTTAGTTTCTCAGGATAAATGGAACATTGGTTATACTATGAAAACTAACTCATCTAGTTCATTGAGATTAAAATTAATATCTAATTTGTTTAAGCCTTACTCTCTTGAACTTATATTTGATATGTTAAATGATCCAAAATACAGAAAAGAGTGGGATGTTAATTTGTTAGAACGAAGGGTAATTGAAGAAATTGATGAACATAATGAAATTGAATATTATTCCATTAAAATGCCTGTTGTTACAAATAGAGATTTTGTTTATCAAAGGGCTTGGAGGTTTAATGAAAATGAATTTATTATATTTAATAGATCAATTAAAGACAAACGTTTTCCACCAGTCTCTGGATTAGTACGTGCATTTTTTCATATTAGTGGATATATGGTAAGAAAAGAAAACGAAGGAAATAAGTTGTACTACATTTGTCATAATGAATGGAATGGGTGGATTCCTAATTTCTTAATTAACACAATTGGAATTGATGTGTGTCCATCAGTTTTAAGTAAAATGGCTGAGGGTTGTAAAAAATATACTGAATGGTTAGAAAAACAACAACCATATGAAAGGCCATGGAAAAAATTGCTTTATTACTAAGGACTGAAATAATAATGAATATAGTCAATAGAATTCAATTGGAAGAAATGAAACATTTTTTACAGTTTTATTCAAATTAAAAGATTTTATAATTTATAGAATTTCTAAGAGTTCAAAATTGTTAACAGAATACAATAGAATTCATTTTTTTTCTTGAAAATAGAAAACAAAAAAAGATCCTAATTGATCTTTAAATTGATTCAGCCACTATGGAAGAACAAAAGATCTTATGTATATCTTTTAATCAAGACTTCTCATGTTTTGCTCTTGGAACTACAAAAGGTTTTTTTGTATATGGTATTGAACAAACTCGATTAAGAGAACGTTTTAAAAGAAATTTCAATGGAGGTGTTGGAATTATTGAATTATTATATAAATCAAATTTGGTAGCATTAGTTGGAGGTGGACCACAACCCGTTTTTCCACCAACTAAAGTTATTATTTGGGATGATTATCAAAATAAAGGAATTGCAGAATTAGAATATGACACCCCTGTACGTGCAGTAAGATTAAAAAGAGATATTATTGTTGTTGTAGTTGATACTTCAGTATTTGTTTATGACTTCAGAAATTTAAATTTAAGACAAACTTTTAAAACTTGTCCAAATCCAAAAGGATTAATTGCCGTTTCATCTTCAGATAAGAAAGTCATTGCTTATCCTTCTGTTCAAGAAGGTAGTGTTGTCGTTGCTAATTTAGAAACAGGTGCTTCTACTACAATCGAAGCACATAAACATTCTATTTCTGCTTTATGTTTAAGTCCTGAGGCCAATTTATTGGTTAGTGCATCTTCAGAAGGAACATTATTTAGAGTATGGGATACTGCACGTGGTGAGAAAGTAGGAGAATTTAGAAGAGGAAAAAGTGTAGCTGAGATTTATAGTGTTAATTTCAGTCAAGATAGTAAATTTATTGTAACAAATAGTAATAGAGGAACAATTCATGTTTATTCTCTTTCTCAAGATGGAGACGTTTCTAATAAAGAGTCTAAATTTTCTAAAATCGTTCCAGGATTTAGTGGAATTTATGGATGTTGTGAATGTCCAATTACACCAGACATTTACACTGCAGTATTCTTCGGATGGCAAAATAGTCCAACCACTTGTGTGATGGGTATTACTATTGAAGGAGTATTTATGAAATTCAATTTACAAACAGACAAAGGAAAAGTGATAATGATATTGGAAGATTCATCTCCCATTCTTTAATTCACATTTTAATTGTCATTTTTTTTGAC